TTACAGAGGGAGAAAATGAGGCTCCAGTGACCGGGTGGCTTGCCCAAGGTCTCAGTACTAGTCAGGACAGAGTTGAGATTTGACCTCAAGCCTTTCAGACTCTGAAGCTCCTGCTCCTTCTGCCTCATCAGAGCAGACCAGCAGCCTGGTCAGGCAGAAGCCCCCAGGCTTGGGTTGAGCAGGGGAGGCTGTGGGGCCAGGCAAGATGTCCAGCTTCCATGCAGCCCTGCCGCCTCGCAGTCAGGATCAGATATCTGAGCCGCAGGTCTGTAATTCAATATCCTGTTTGCTGTTTGGCTCCTGCATCCACCAGACCTTGTGACAGAGATCTACCGCCTGAGATGAAGAAAAAGGATGGGAGGTGGTCTCCGTATCACAGTTTTATACTAAGGAAATGAAATGAGAGGCAGGTTGGAATGAAACAGGAGGGTTGGGGGCATCCTGTATCTCTGCCTGCTTGGTCCCCTTCACCCTCCCCAGCGGTCCCTGATGCTCTTGCACAGAGCTCAGGTTGGAAACCACAGAGTGAAAGGTTTTGGAAGGTCATGAGAGCTGCAGTTGATTCCTGAAGGGCTGTCATGTGGATGACATGGCCGAGGTCATGGGAATATCAGAGAGACCGACACAAGGTCCACAGCAGGGAAGTGTCTCGATAGGCATGGCCCTGCTCTTACTGAAAATGTTCTGCAAGGTGGGATAATGCATCCTCAGGATGTTAGGGAGGGAATTCAGCACCTAGTGGAAGATTTGGCATGATGAGTCTTAACGTCCTTCCAACTCTGAGACCCAAGATTCTGAAATTGTATGAGAGCCCTCAGGAATGGGATGTCTGATGAAAATCACCTAAACCCAGGGATTCCATGGATCCTACAAAGAAGCCCCATATTCCCTACAGATTCCAAATTGCATTTGGTAAATAGCACTGTCAAAAGCCAGTGACCTGGGCCGGCCCGGTGGCGCACTGGAGAGTGCGCCGCTTGGGAGTGTGGCGGCACTCCCG